TCTTCAGATACAGATATATCCCCTTCATCCACTCCGCATCCGGCGTCACTAGCCCTGCCTGTGCCTCCATGATGTCGAATATATACGGCGTAAAGAGGGTATGCATCACCGCAATAACGAGACAGAAAAAGCCGGCGAAGAAGACGAACAGGTCGTCGATATAGAGAGACCCGTGCTTCTGCCAGCGGATCCACAGCCGGAATACCATTAGAGATATGGCGGGCGCGGTTACCGCCCAGTATATGGCCTACAGTTACGGATTGTCAGTGACAGTTTATGTTTGAGTAGTACAGTAATAATATAACCACTTACATAGTAGCCGTATATTGGGAGTGCCTTCTCCAATTCTGCTGATCGTACATGCAACTGATGTTGCGCCATCCTACTTCCTACAAACTAGTATATTCCTCCACGATTATAATTATGGCCCGATGGTGAGAGAAAGAACGGAAAGAAGAAAAAACCACAAGGGTTTGTGACTACAGAGCAGAAACGAGACTAAAAAGGGCCAACCGAGGGTTAAAGTATCGAAGGGCCGGGTGAGAGGGTAGTAAATAACAATTATCACCTGAAAATCCGAACCGGGTATGGCAATCATAGAGTAGTATATACATCAATCTAGCAATCCCCCAACGCTGGGGTCCTTGGGATGGGACGCAGAATGGACGCACGCTGGAACGGTGCGGTACATCTTTTAACCCCCTGTCCGCAATGCAAAGAAGTGGTGTGAAAGACACATGGAGGACGCTTCTCCTGCACCTTTGTCTTCTTGGGTTGTATTAATATGTACATGTATGTACGACATGTACCCCACCGCCCGAACCGGCTTCTCTTACTCGCCAGCGACAGTTGAAATACATGTACTCTATCCCGGTTTTCTTGGTGGGCGTTCTCTCGGTTTCGGGGCACAGGCAAGGATATTGGAAGCACTCTAATTGTGCATATATTGGTATTTTAGCCACGAGTTGTATGTGCCTATACGTTAAAAACCTAAAGCTGTAAGCACTAGAAGTTACTTGCACTCCAATTCTACCCAACAACACAAGTATGAAAAATCCCATGTCTCTGCCAGAATACTACCTACCGGACTCCGGATCTAGCTATCAACACAATGATCTTCAAGTCTAGATGTAGACCCTTTTTTCCGCACAGATAGCAGCAAACCTTCCCCGGTCATAAATGCCTCTTTAGTGAAGCAGCTAAGAAGATTTTCTGGACCGTGGAACGGGCAAGCCATGGATCCACAACCTAGCCCTGACAGCTTGAATGGCGAACCACCACGCGCGGACCAAAAGGTGCACAAATGAGTACTTTCTTTCTCCCGGGCGTTATGTCGGTTGGCTTCCGATGCATTGTATGCCGGCCGACTTGAATCGTGGGTTTGAAGTACCCACGGTGGGTGTTTCACAATGCCCAATTGCGATTGATGGGAAACGTGGTTCGACTAGTGTGGTCCACGAGGCATTGATGCTCGAGGCAAACCCTCTTACTCGCCTCGAGCTGCTCGAGGTTTAGCTACATGTAATCATGTATGAGTGGCATTTAGCTCAGTGGATTTGATGTTTCTGATGGGGACATTGGACGTATTCCCTACATTTTCATACCAGTATTACAATAAAATATGACTTTGACGAATCTAAATATAGTAATTATCTGCCTCGAGTTAGCTCGAGCACCTCGAGGCATCACCTATTTTTCACGAGCAAGCAAAGGCATGGACCACACGAGGTAGAGTAGAGGCACCTCGAGGCATCTGTTTCTGCTCGCCTCGAGCAGCCTCGTGGACCACACTAGGTTCGACAACAAAACTAGGTTATGTAGGTAAAAGTCTCAAGTCCATAGTCTTAAGTCCATGGTCTCAAGTCCATAGCTTAACGACTCTGGATTCGTTAGTGTATGTATAGTTGTGAGGTTATTGTTTCTTAGTGCATCACATATAGAGTGCATGTAACCATATATGACGAAGTAGCGACTCTAACTTCACGGATCAGCAAGGGTCATAGCATAGAATTGCATAGCATGGCATAGCATGGCATAACATGGCATAGCATGGCATAGCATATACTCGGGGCAGGCATGAAGAACCTGAACATCGTTTTTCTGGTAGCAACCACTTTGACCCCTGCTAGTGCGTTTTTATGTTCAGGTTCTTGTTACCTGCCCCGAGTAGCATAACTGTGCGCAGTAAAGTTGGCTGGGGATTGAGGTTGCTAGCTTTGTTCCATAGCCATCAAGTGATATCTAAAACTCCAAAATGGGGAATATGCCTGCACATATACCAAGATTTATAAGCCGTTGTGTTTCAAGCTTCCGGCAGGTTTTGTGCCTAACCCACATCCCTCTTTTGAAGAATCCTCAGTGCCGAGGTCGAGCTTCGCTAAGCTCGGGGGAGGATTTCCCAGCTGGGATTAAGTGAATATTTTGGGGAATGCAACGTTTTCGACCCAGTACTGTGTCAGACCTAGAAGTGTGTCGCATGGCAACGGCACCAAAACCAGACACAAAGCCCCCAAAAAGAAAGAAGACCCCATAACACCATAATAGAGGATAATCCATCTGGAAACCATCCTAATCCGTGTGCTTTTAAATGGAATTCATTTGTTAAAAATCTGGCAGTAAATATCTCAAGAGATGGTGGAGATAGCTTTGGCAATTTGTATGGGATTGACACTCTTCTATGTCTGACACAGAACCCGGTCTAAAACGTTATGCAGAATTGACTAGAATAGGGGATCAAAGTTCGGAAGGTGAGCACGCTTATGAGGTTTTATGAACGCATGCAGAATATTGACAGTCTGGAATGGGTATATGTATGTACCCCTGGAACTAGAGTAGTAATCATGTAAGGAATCTTTTTTGACGCTTCTTTTCTCTTGGCTGGACATGGAGAAGTGAGACCACTGAATTTCAACTTCAACTTTAACGTTAACCTCAATTACTGGGTTAATTTAAGGACTGGGGTACAAGTACATGTAGTAATCGATCGGCTGGCCATGGTAGAAGAAGTTAATAACCATACCTGTTCCTTCCTGTATTATGATAGTGTTTTCAACTGTACCCAGGTAACCTTATACATGTATCCACCACTGCCAAATTTAAAGCCACTCCCCTCATAATACTCCGAAGGCTGCATAAGACCCAGTCGTGGAATGAGGCAGCAGCATGATATATCTATAAGATGAGTTACACAACTGTCTACATGTACTCTATGTCATTTTAGTGTACCCACGGGAAGGGTAAATCCAAAGACGGCCCGCTCAGGACGAAACAAGGTTCCAAAGTGTAGTTTAACTTGGGCCCTTGGTTGAAATCTGAGTTCAACTGCCTTCGGGCTTCGGAGCTGAACTCACTGCCGGCAACGATTCCTCAAGTTCGCTTCTCTCTTTAATTTTGTCTCCCCCTCTTTACTGCAGTATGCCCCCTTTGAGAAGAAATGATATCGCTCTCCGCCCCTCTCGTTTCTGATGGAACTAAATTAGAGCACATCCCCAGATTGCGCATGACTTACCACATCCCGACTAGCAGCCCCAAGACCCTTGTGGGGAAAAGAAAGAAAGGAAGCTCTTGTCTTGGCAGGCCCATCTCGTGAACTATACCTAGAGATCTAGTAGTCTACCGACCTTGGTGTAGTTAGTTTTCGTTTGAATTAAGTCACTCGGTCTTCTCGTCATTGGAGCTTCCAACTTCGATCGTCGCACAAAGCAAGCACTTCGGTCACGTCTGTCAACAGGAATCAATGATGCGCCACAGAAACTGAAACATCGCTACATACATACATGGATAGGATTCGGCCGGATAATGTCATATCCCTATCTACATACCTATCTCATCCCTCATCCCTTATCCCCATCTCGCTCATCAACACCATCCCCCTTCCCCGCCTTCGAACACGATCTGAGATGCGGTATGTACGGCTTCTCGGAGGAGAAACGAGAGACATTTAAGGTTGAAGAGAAGCTTCTGGCTGGGAATCTCACCCACTTTATACCCACCGCGCTCTCTACAGCTTCTATTGGGCGATGACCTGCCCGGTCTGACCATACCATACCATCCCCCTCTCATCCTGGCATTCATACATCATCAAAACCTGCAACTATCCTTACCCTTGGGGGCCCTGATCCTTTGATTACCGATATCCATATGGGTACTATGCGTGCTGATGAGGCTCGAACGGGTGGCCGCCTACTGTGGTCAATAATGATACTGTTCTGTAGGATTCACCTATGTCTGCCCCTCCGCGATAACGAAGCCGAGGCAAGAGCTAGTCAAAATCAGCGCCAGCGTCAACGACGTCAACGCCGACGTCGGCAGCACCGGCGCCGTCAATAAGTGGATGGACCCTTCACTTACTTCTCGAGGCACCTACCCAGCTGGCACTGCAACTTCAAATTCCCACAGCACGCAATATATACCATAGATTCGATACCTCAATCGAGGCCCCGCTTGTCAGGTTGCTGCATTGTTACGGCGCATGGAGACGGAAGCTTTCGTTCCGCCTGTCAAGTGCTACCAATACTCGGTCTGTTCTCGCGGGTAGTAACATTCAACCCTGAACACGGCATCCGGAAGAATAGGCCGGCAAACATGGGCTCTTCTACAATCACAGCCAGGGAAATATGTGCTGCCCAAATCTGCCTTTTCTCCTACCAGGCTCTTCTTCAGTTCATCTCGCAGCGGATCTATATCTAGCTTAACTCGTCAACGTGCCGCGTTCCCATGAGAGCTCAGATAATGTAATCAACCACTTTGGCTTAATATATAAGATGATGTTTACCGCAATAGTCAGCAGCTTTTAATCTACCATCAGCTCTGGCTCCTGTCATATCGTTCTTTATGAGTTCTTCCCCTCTGTATATATAGATATTTACCTCGGTCTCCTTTCATTTTTACCTTTTTGGCTTTTTGTTTATTCGAGGCTTTCCGTTCATAAAGCCGGCTTTTCTTTCCAGAGTTTTTGTGTTTCCTGACTCTGCCTGCATCTGTTCTTAATCTTCCCCACGATGCATCTTCTTGGCAAATCTGTACGTTCGACGCTATTCATAGCTGGAGGCCTCTTGGCCTACATTACAGCTGCAGCGGAAACGCTAGATAGCGCTGCTATTACCGCTGCCTCGATCCCTACAGAGATATCGGCCTCTGTGAGCTCTTACGGGAATATCCTTACGGTCAGTAATATATCTAGATAGCTGGCTTTTGCCAATTTTTCTTGTTCGAGACATGTTGGAGTGACCATGTCGCTGATCCGATTCTTTATATGCAGTGCGCAATTCTCACTGGCCTCTTCTGGGGCAAAGTCGCATATCCTTCCTCCACCAGCTACGGCGAAGAGAATGCATACTGGTGTAAGTCCCAATATGAGACCGTAAATATCTGAAATTGTGCCCTAAAAGCTCACTCCACAAACAGCCGCAACTGCGATCCTCTCCCCCACCTGTATCTTCACCCCAACCTCCGCGACCGACGTCTCCCTCGCCGTCAAAATACTCACCCTCTCCAAGGTCGAGTTCGCCATCCGTGGGGGCGGCCACACCGCCAACGCCGGCTGGGCCAACACCAACAAGGGCGTTCTAATCTCCCTCTCGGAGCTCAAGACCCTCAACGCAAAGAGCGGCTACGTCGAGGTCGGCGCAGGCCTACACTGGGACGAAGTCTACGAGTACCTCGATGCGCGGCAGCTAAGCGTGGTGGGCGGGCGCATGACCGGCGTCGGTGTCTCCGGGTACCTACTTGGCGGGGGCATCTCGTACATCTCCAACGAGCGGGGCTTCGGCTGCGACAATGTCAAGAACTACGAGGTTGTTCTAGGTGACGGCCGCATTGTCTCCGCAAACGCCCAGACCAACCCCGGCCTCTTCAAGGCGCTCAAGGGCAGCACCAACAACTTCGGCATCGTCACCCGCTTCGACCTGTATACATACGCCAGCGCGGGCGTTTATGCGGGGTCCCTCTACTACCTCGAGAGCAGCTTCGACGAGCTCTTTGATGCCACGGCCGCTTATGCTGTCAATAATACCGACATCAAGACGCATGTTATCCCCGCGTTCGTGTCGTTGCCCGGCTACAACGTCGCCGCCTACTACGTCTTCTCGAGCGACCCGGTGACGTCCCCGCCGGCGGCGCTGGAGCCGTTTTTCGACATCCCGGCGTTCACAGATACTACGCGGATCACAAACTTCACCGGCGCCACGGAAGAGCTGGGCGCGGGGGATGTGTATGGGATGAGGTTCGTTGATGCATCCCCGGTTTGAACTTTGGAGGGGTGGTTGTGCTGACATATCGATCATTGACACCTAGACACTACCTCCAAGCACTAACCATCGTCGCCGACGCCTCGCTCTACAAGGACATCTACGCGATCTTCAAAGCTCTCAACTCCCCGCTCACAACGACCATCACGGGCTTCCAGGCCTCTGTGGCGTATCAGCCGCTGTCGGCGAGCATGATTGCCGCTGGTGCGGTGCGCGGCGGGAATGTATTGGGTTGGACGACTCGCAGGGAGTGCTGACTTGTAGGTTCCCTCGGATGCTTTGTTGTTGACTGGAAAGAAGACATGTGCTGATGGAGATACACAGGCCTGAACTTTAATTATCGCTGGACAAATACGACGGATGATGTGACTGTTAAGGCGGTTGCGGCGAAGGTGATTGATCAGGCGCGGGAGCTGGCGAAGGGGCGGGGGTTGTTTAATCCTTATATGTGAGTGTTCCTTAAGAGTAAACCAAAACTGGTGGGCGCGGAGACTGACTAAATCTTTTAGATATTTGAACTATGCGGACCCAGACGCGGAGGTGATCGAGGGTTACGGCGCCGCAAATGTCAAGACCCTGCAGGCGGCGAAGAAGAAGTGGGATCCGGAGAATGTATTTAGCAAGTTGGTGAAGGGAGGTTTCAAGGTCCCTATGTAGAGTAGAGAGTGTAAGATTGGGTGACGTTTGTTTATAAACTACATATTAATAGGGTATTTATGGTTGTAATTTGAAATATGTATTATAGGAATAAACTGGATGGGAATACAAAATTGTTAATATTTGTCTATTCCAAACACGTTCAGAGAAGCGATTTATCTCTCAACTGCTCAACCACTTCTGTCTGCAAATTCCAGACAACGTCTGGATCACAGGCTAACACTCGAAATAACGCACACACATCTTAAAACACCGGATCCATTAATGTAGTCCCTTTAGATAAACAAGATCAGAAATTGATAAAAGCCTAAACCACAGGTACAGAAAAAGCCTCCTATATCAAATGCCTGGCCCGTCCGGTCTTGCCGTCATTCGGCCGGCCGCATATCAGGCAAGCAACGGCTGCCACAAATGTGGGGGCATATCGAGTACAACGCAAGAGAGGGTATCTTGAGAGCCACTCCGTGGAGGGTTAGATTGGATTGGCTTGTCTCTTGCGGGATATATACCGCCGGGGGCGGCTATCTCTATCTTCTGGGCGGGCATATCTTGCCCGGCGGTGAGCACCGACTCTCCGGGCAATGCCGGCGGTGTTCGTCTCATGTACGAAAAGCCGGACTACCGGGATTAAAAGCAACGTAAGTATCTATGAATGCCGGCATATCGAACAATTGATCGTCCTCTGAGCTGTCCATAACAGCACTTTCCATTGCCGTCGGCCGGCAAAAAAAGAAACCACATCCATCGTGGTGTGCCCTAAGTTAAACCTAACATGTCACGGAATCAACAACAGGAAAGCAGAGCGAATGGCCCCCAATTTTACCCGCCCAGGAGCAGTAATTCTTACTTTCCTGGATGACGTTTAACGGGGGTTGAACTCAACGACCGAAGCGTTGGCAGTGGGCAGAGCAAGTTGTTAGCCATCTAGCCCCTATGCTTCTGCTCCATTCTAACTGGGCAATGGCAATGCCAATGGATGAGAGGATGGCCTGGGGTTGGGAATCTTCTAACCGCTTGCTGGCTGCATCTCCGGGTTTCGATGGCATAATGGTAAAGCCCGTCCGATACACATCACCTCAAAACTATCTCATACCCCGGAGAGAAAGAGCAACACCCACAACGGCAACCGCGACTACCGACAGCGTGGTTCCAACCCTCAGTCAAGAGCCTAACCTCCTCAACCTGACAACCCATGTGAAAAGCCGTCCATGGAACAGCCGGCTTCGTTGTCCTCTTCTCTACGAGTGAGGTCGTAGGCAAGCTATAATATCTTCAATATGCGTTCCATAGTGAGGCATTGTTACGGCATTAACCGCGCTGATGAACGTTAGGTCACGCCAGTCATATCATGAGGATAGAACTGTAGATACTACTTCCCTGACTGACCCCCTAGTCTACAGGCCAGAAAACGCGCAGCGCAAAAGCTAGCTGGTCCGAAACTCAAGCCCAAGCCCCCAAAGACGGCGGCAAGAGACCCAATGTCAATGATCAGATTGCAAATTAGCCAGGGGGGGGGGGGGGGGGGGGATCGTGCAAACAAGCAAAGAAACAACAAAAGGAACTGAACCCCACGTTTTTCGTTGTTGCGATGCCGGAAGATCGGCGACGGGGGGGCTGAGAGGCTTTTCCTGCATAGTGGTGGCGATGCTCTTTTGTGGGGTTGTAATGAGTAGCTGTAGCCTTGTGGCAGGAAAGCTTAACTAAAGGGAGCGGCGCCGCGGAGAGAGTACCGCGGTTCCTGCAGGTACTGTCGTTCACGGGTATTGGCGGACACTGGGTGTTGACGGATTGCAGGCAAAACTTGGCTTGGCTGTCTCTTTTTTGGTTTGTTCGTCAACACCCAGTGCCCGTCAATACCCCGTGAACGACAGTATTCAGCAGGTGTATGTACACGCTTACCAGCGTAAGAACCAGAAAATTCAGTTGCTCAGGGCAAGGATGATTTGTATGGAGTGGCGTCGTTCTCTCCAGGGTCCCGTGAGATACTCGAGAACGTGTTTAAAACAGGGCAAAATACTCGAGCTGTTGGAACCTGGTGTTTATAACTGCATGATACTCTGGATGACATAAGCCAAAAAATGCGGGTGTCTCTTCAACAGTCCACTAGAAAGTTGTATATGCCCTTGTCTGCAAATGTGCCAGTGGGAACGGACTTGTGTTTCTCGCCTTCTTCCTATGTTATTGCTTGAATAACCCTAACCCTGCCACAGTATCTTACTCCCTCTCAACTGGACCTGAGTTTATAACCGGTTTATAACCGTGTTTCTTACTCCCAGTATCTTACCCTTGTATATTTCATGGACCCTAGTTCTCTCATACAAATAATCCCTGTTTCAGTTACTTGCATTTTCTGGTTCTTTTGAGGGTAAGCTGTAGAACAGTTTGGTCCGTACTCATAATCACGGGGGTGAATAACGGCGGATCCTATCTGATAGTGATTAGGGAAATGATTAGAGGCGAATATCGCCAAAACTCGAAAAATTGGCTATCTCCGTCCAGGGACTACCGCTTGAATAATTGGTTGGATGGCATCGATCTACATCAGAAGTATCCCATACAAGTAATTCTGATCTAGCCAATTTTTCGAGTTATGGCGGTAGGTAGTAGAGTTGGCTTTGTGACGCCAAGGCTAAATTACTGCAAACACAGGACCCGCCGTGAGTGTAGGTACTCTATGTAGATTAGGCAGGCAAGACATTTCTCACCAGTTACACAGTTGCCTGGAGTCGATCAGGCTGTGTGTGCGGTCGCGAGTTGGTGGCCCCTTTGAAAATCGGTTATGTACTGAGAGTGTGGGCTGTGCTAGAGTATGTGGGGAGAAAAGCCTTTTTTTGACAGGAAACGGGAGATGGAGAGTTTAATTAAGTTTGTATTTAGAGTTTATGGGATACGCGGACACGGTAATCAATATTGTCTACGGTAATGACAAGGTCTCAAAAGACTTATTGAAGGAATGGAATAAGTGAAGAAAAGTACTAGACTCAAGAAACATAACGATGCAACCAGGGATAAAAAAAAACTCATATATTATGCTAAGAAGAGTCATAACCAAATTGAAGTATAATAAAAAGACACAAAACAAATACGTGTAAAAAACAAGGCGTGATGTGAAATAGTGGAACAGCTAGAGCGATTACAAAAAACCATCAAATCATGCAGTGATAACAAGGAAAATAGACAAAAGAAACATAAAAAGAAATAAAAAGAAAAAAAGAGGCCCGGGGCCAAGATACAAGTAAAACGCCAACTCGTTATGCAAACCGTAATAAAGTAGAAGTAGAAAAAAAGCGGCAAATCAGACATAAGAAACCCAACTACGGCGGTGTGCCAAGTAGTAGCAATAGTAGCAGTAACAGAAACAGTAGTAGTCCAACCATCCACGACTAGCCTAACCAGTCCAAGTCAACCAACTAATCACCCAAACCGGGCAACTAATCAGCCAAACCAGTCAAGTCAACCAACCACCCAACTCAACCATAAATCCTCAAACCCCCACCAACCATCATCTCCACCACCACCACTTAATCCAACCCCACCTTCTCCAGACTCATCCCCCTGACATAGGTCTCCGCCGTACTAGTCGACAACCACGACGCCTCACTTGCGTTCGTATCCGCCCTGGCTACACCCTCCTCACTCACGGACGAAGTCGTCTTTCGCCTTGGTGTTGCTGGCCGGCCCTCTGCCATCTTACCCACCAGCCGCTCAGACGGCTTCTGTGGTGCCGATACGGACCGGAAGAGTTGTGGCCTAGTGATGGTGCGTCGGATCGTGCGCTCGCCAGCGTAGATCACGAGCGGGAGGGACAGGCAGGCGATGATGATTCCGAGGATTGGGAACACCATTGTCGCTGCTGCGCTTTGCGCTTTGCGGGGTGTTAGAGGCTGTGGTAATAAGAGATAGAGATGAGGTGGGGAAGTAGGAGGAAGGCTATCTGGAGTTTGTGTGGTGTAGCTCTTGCGGTTTTGCTTGGGAGCTGGATGCTCTACTAAGAGTGGGGTTCTTAGAGCTTAGAGCTGGAGGAAGGAGATATCAACTGATGATCACAGGCGCAGTAGAGTGGTGTTTGTATTGCTTGCTTGCTTGTTCGCTTTGCTTTGCTTTGCTTTGCTTTGCTTTGCTTTGCTTTGCTTTGCTTTGCTTTGCAGGTTCAGGCACAGGTGCAGAGGATAAGAAGAAGGCTTTTATCTACACTTGAAGAAAAGCAGAGGCTTATATAGCCCACCCCTCTCCAGCTGCCATCCATCGAGTCACACCCTTCCACCACCCCGTAGAGGTATGATGTATGGTATCTCCTCTGACTCTGTGACTAAGAGATGTCCAGATAGAGTATGTGCGAAGTGGGAGTTTCATGAGGTCATGAGTTTCTATAGCGGGCGTTTACTATGCATGATCACCAGGGGGGGTAGTTAGGTATGTAGGTATGTAGCTATCTAGGTAGCTCACTGGCTGTCTTGCTAGCTAGCTGGCTAGCTAACTGGCCACTTTCATAAACAGCGAGTTGACTACGCCAGAAAGGTCAATACAATACAATACGGCAGTGGCATCTTTTGCCGCTGCGGAAAATGCATGAATGGTAGGTAAGCGGGTGAGATGGATCCTTCCCTCCCACCCACACTCCCTCCCAGCGGGCGCAGGTACGGAGCGATATGTGCTTCTAGAAGGAAGATTGTCCAATATCTGCACAGGGATTCATCCATGGGAGAGGTGGGGGAGATTCACAGAATCAAGCAGCGTCGGGCTGTGTGCCTTGCAGTGGCACAGGCAGTCGGTGCTGTCTTAAAATAGAGCAGGGGGGGGGGGGGTGGATGTGGAGAGGGCCAACCAGCCAGCGACTTGTGACTATGGCCTCGGTATTCACGGCAGCTTCAGCAGGGTGGCTGACAGAGAGAAACAGCAGCAGTAACAGCAACAACAACTACTCGCGCGAGTACTTCATACTGCATACAGGCTGCTTCTAGCTTCTGTCTGCTGGAGTTGACGTTTTTGTGTGTTGCCGGCGAACGGGTGTGACGCGGCTACACAGCTGGCTACATGTAATCAGTCAGTCAGACAATCACCTGATTGAGAGGATGCACTTTCAACCAAGGTACCGGCGAATAAATGCCTTCCGGAGATTGGGATGGAGATATTCACTGGAGCCTTCCTGCACCGTGAAGATTGTTAATGCGATCCATTCAAATCTTCTCCGGCGCGGGGAGGGGAGGGGAGGGGAGTGTTAGATTTGTAAGGAAGGCCGCCTGATGATGCTTGGATGAGATACGAGCCAGTGCACTATTTGAATCTACATACTTCTTCTTCTCTTCGACGCTCTACTTGTGGCTAACCTCTCATGATGCTGATGATAATGTCGACGATGATGATGAGAAGGGCTTTCTAGAATGCCACTAGACTTGTGTTATGTGTATAGATAGTATATTACTGTTATTTATAAGAGCATCTATCTAAAGTACATATGTATTTACATACCTCTCTCTAGCTTGTAATCAGTTAATTTATTTATATGAGTCAAATCAGATCTCCAAATATAATAATCACCACAAGAATAGATGGCCCCTTCCCTCAATCAATGAATTAAACAAAAAAAAAAAAATGGCCCCTTCCTCGTCTCGTCTCTTTGGTTCTCTCCCTCCCTTCCCTTCCCTTCCTTCCTTGATCCTTGGCCCATGACACAACTTGACCGCTAGCGAGCCTCTAAAGTACTCGTGACGCCCGCAAACCCGTCATTCCAATCCTTTCCCTCAGCCCTGCCAAGCCCGATCTACAGCGGCTCCTTCACGCCCCCCCCCCCCGCCAACGTCAACCACACCCGAATCCTACACTCTCCACACCACACTTTCAACCCTACATCACATCTCGAGTCCACACACCAAAACCCTCCCCCAAACCCGCTCGACATACCAAACCTCACAATGCCTCTCACAATAATCCGCACCGTCCCGGACGCCGCCAAATACACCCCTCTCACCACACACCAATCCGCAACCCCGGCCTCGTTCACCACCCCCGTCCTCCACTTCCGCAACGAATCCACCACCCTCGTCCTCGCCGCCGCGCAGGCCTCCCTTCTCCCCATCTTCGGCGACCACAAAGATGCTCCGGAATCCGAAGTCATCGTGCCCGGCATCGACATCTGGGTCACCTCCGAGTACACACACACCCCCGCACCCCCGCCCTCATACAGACCAACCAGTTAACTAACACTCTACAGGAACCTAATCCTCTACAATCCCTCCCTCACCGTCGGCGTCGAGCTCCCCTACACCTCCGTCACCCTGCACGCCATCCAACGGATCCCTCACGGAAAAGGCATCTACATGCAGCTGGCGCTCTCCCCTTCCGCCGCCCAGACATCCAACAACGAGGCCTTCGACGACGACGACATGCTAGAGCTGACCGCGCTTCCCGGCGACGGTGAAAGCGAGGACACAACCGTCGACGCGTTCTTTAAGGGGCTGAGCGACTGCGCGAACCTCAACCCGGACCCGGACGCGAGCGGGAGCGACGACGAGGGCATGGACGGGCAGGTTATGTTTGAAGGGGGCGCTGGGGCCACGCTGGAGGGTTTCCCGGGAGAGGGCGGCTGGATCACGGCGGAGAATGTGGACCAGTTTCGGTTTGAGGATGTGGAGGGGGGGAGGGCGAGAGCGAGAGCGGGGGGTTTAGGATTCTGGGCCCAGGCGCGGGGACGGTGAGGACGAGGAGTGAGGAGGGAGATGAGGCGGAGGAGGAGGTGGTGGGCACGGAGGAGGTGAAATGGAGGAGGACGGAGTAGGGGTGGTTGGGTGGTGGGGGGATATCTGTATCGTATTAGGTACGTCTGCTGCTCTTCCTAGGGGGAAAATTTATTAGAGGTCTGGTTTTTTCTGCTGCTGAGATTAGGTAGTGGTGTGATTGAGATTTTGCGTCGTGATTTGACCTGACAGCTTAATTGACCAACCAGAAACTCTCGAAGGTTTAGAGAATCAATTGCCTAAAATAATCAATAAAAGGCGAAGCTCATAGCACAAATAAATAACTAAACTGCCTGTTCAGAACTTCTACTAGTAATCCCAATAAGAGTTTTATCTGAGACACCCGGAGACATCTCTCATTGGCCCGTGCAAACATGAGTGATAATTGATGATCACCCGCCAGAAGTCCAATCATGCACCCCACCGCTCCTCCACCTACCCCCACCTTTAATCTTAAAACCGGCCCTCGATACCGGCCCAAGAATCTGGATAAATTCAACTGCTTTTGGGATATGCAATCATCTTTGCCTCGGGTGTGATGAAACTACATACATACATACATACACAGCGAGCAAACTGCAACTGACTACACGTATATTACAGAGCCCACTGAGGCGATTGGAACACGTCTTTCATGACTCGGCATAAACTAGTCATCAATGGCTAGTGGTAGAGCACTTGAGGTTTCAAGCTGTTAAACATGGATGCCTTATCCAAGGTGGGTGAGGTGCATAGAGGAAATATACTACCAGGGTTAGGGTTTCTTTGAGTACTACTTAATCCGAACCAAGTATGTAGACAGTAGGCTAGGGAAGAACAATTGATAAGAGAAATTGGTGTCGTTTAAACCCTCATACTTCCAGGGATCTCTTGTGTTGTCGTCGCCCGGACTCGTTCGTGGAAGAAATAATCTGGGCTGCGAGTATGAATGGTATGGATGCCTGGAAAGTATGAATGCCTGAAAAATGGCGCACTACACACCCAGCGGGTAGAGGGCGGGTGTGTCAACTTCAGAGAAATTTGGGAATCTGAGAAAATGCCAGGGTTAGTCTAGGCGCTAGTACCATTATGGCCAATTTCTATAAGTTTGATTGGCCGATTCTTTAAAAAAACGCCGAAGTTTACACACCTACCCCCCATAGCTTCTCGAGCCATATGTACAGTCGCAACTCGATATGCCGGATTGCCAAGATTCGAAGGATTTCATACGGGATAGCAAAAAATCCGGGATAGCAAATTGATTTTGCAGTAAAAAAACCAAAACCCAGAGGATTTCGTACGGGATAGCAAGGGATCCGGCGTATTGAGATCCGGCATATCGAGTTGCGACTGTACCTCAGGTGCCATGAAGTAGGCCTTGGGGCCATGAAGTAGGTACATCAACATGATTACTCCTCCGATCACACACCACATCACATGGGAGTGTATACATAGCCGTCGAGACGGGGATGTGGTGTAACACAATGCTCCAGCCAAGTGCTTTTCTGATTGTTGGAGATGAGGCCGTAAAATACAGTCGCTCACCTACTGGCAGCGGGTCCTGTCTGATGGTTGCAGTAATTTGCCCTTGACGTCCATAACCCAACTCTTTCATTGGCCTCAAATACCTGTACTCTTATCGAGACCGAGAGAGTAGTCTCTTGACAGAATTAAGAACAAAATGTTCCTCTGTATGCAGGCAGCATCTGAGACACTCCAGGGTAACTACCCCGCTTCTCCTTCAGGCATGCTACCGTTCTACTGTGCTACCGTTCTACTGTACTACTTGAGAGAACTCCAGTTCTGTACCTTCCCGGTACTTTTGATGTTTCTTTTGCTTTCCCCTGTGCATCCCGTGTTATGCCTGTCACTATCCCTGCACCGTGCAATAACCTCAACAAATCAACGCCTCGATCAATATATTTATCGTCGATAGAGTGGTGGGAATCGCCCTCCCTGTCGACAAACAAACCATTACAGGCATAGCTAACTCGACCCTTTGCTGCAGCTGCAAGCCTTCTGCGGAAGTAAGCGAGAGGGAAAGAGAAGAAAAAAACCCCTTCGATCCCTAGGCTAGACTGTGCAGCGGTTTTCCCACCCTAGGTTAGATATATCAATCGTCTAGAGTAGATAATGGGGCGCGTTTCTCCTCTTCGAAGACGCTTTCCACAAATTCAATATACCTAGGGTCTGTCTCTGCCACTGATTTCTTTTTCTTCCTCCGCCTTGCTATCCTCAATCCTCCTCCTGATTTACCAATTGAAAAGATCTTCAAGAGTGGTGAGTGAGTCCACGTTTTTGATTATTCATCTTCATGGTACTGGTTGTGATATTGATGCGTATCTTCGGGAATAGATATCAATCATCTTTCGCGACTACACCGAGACAAAAAAATGGCGGCCTCACACTATCGAAATCCTAGTTACCCCTCCCTGACATCAGTGGCCAACACTAAAGGCAGAGATGACTTGTATAGCTTTCTGGACGTTCTACACGAACGTTTTAACTTCCCAATGCCTTCGGAAAAGACGAGAGGACTTCCATATGTCGAGAAACTGAGAGACCTTCTAAAATTGGGTCCAGAGAGGATACACAGTGCCATAGATACGCTTGAAACCATTTTGAACGGGCCAGGAAAAACTGGGAAAGGAAAATACACCACAAAAAATCTTCTGACTGAGTTTGACAAAATCTTGGAGTTTGAGTTGTCTACGTCTATAGACTTCTCAAGTGATAGGGATACATCGGTACTTCCACTTTTAAACTGGGATAAACACCAGCCAACGAATAGCAAACGGCAGGACCGCCATGGTAGAACGTCATCACTCGCTGAAAAGCTATCCCAATACCGCGAGAAGCTCATCCTCAGCGAAGATGAGTCCGCCGGGGGATCAATAACGGACATTGATTCGGATGATGACTCATTTCATTCTTGCTCCGATACACCACCCTTATCAAACCGTGTTCAACAGATACCTGAGCTTGAGCCGGCCTCAAGCTCAAATCTCCCAGGAAGCGGAGGTTTCAGCGAAAACTTTCAAAGACACCAATTCATAGAAAACATATACCCCAATTCTGATATTATCCAGAGAACATCATATCTCCGTTCATCGGGATCGGGAGGAACCGGCAGGCATAGACCGCGTCTATTAAAACAGACCCCTGGAACGGTGCCTGAGACCCATCGATGTTCCAATGCTTCAAGTGGTTACAATAAAATCGGACAAGATTATATCTCTTCGAGGAACTCTAATACGTCTGTCGACAAAACCCGAACCGTAAGGGCCAGTGCTAATAACAAGCCGAGGACTCGGACTCCACGCCTATCCGCGGTTGAAACCGAGGAGGTGTACAATGGGGATCTCGATAGTGAAACAACAGACATCGATGATGTTAAAATAGACCCCACCACTCTAAGCAATCGGCTTTCTATGCTCGCAAAACAGGATGAACTTTCTCTCAGGCATTTAGCAAATGGTGGATCGGGATATATGGGTATAGATGCAAATGGAAAAGATGATGATGAGGATGACATTCGAAAGATGGCTGAACCCCTTGAGGAAGAATCTGTATCCTACCCAGACTCTCCCTCAAACAGAGAAGGAGACCTGACACCCGAAGAGGACGAGGAGAAAGCCTTTGATGAGGTTTCGGGTCTTCCCGTTGATGATTTGCGGGGTGGCCTAGGCAGGGCGACAATCACTCGACAGCCAGAGGGAGAGGGAGCGCGAGGAGAGAGAGTGCCCTTTGTGGGGCCGGGAAGCGATCTTAACGCCAGTAACGATGAAGATGAAGACCATGACGATGATTATGGCTCAATAGATGCCAGTTCCGAGGACGAGGTTATGAGTGAGTTCATCCCATGCAAACTCTCTTATAAGAAAACATTCGTATCCATATCTTGTGTGTTATTTGTGCGGTCTTTCTTTTTTCTGTTAGGAAAACAAATGCATGTTAATAATAATACATTACTGGCCTTCATCATAATACAATACCGTTTCAAGATGAAAACCTCCTAGCTGGGGCCGTGTGGGATTCTTTTTCCTCATTCATTTATCTAATACCGAGTGTATAAACAGATCATCCCGCCTTGAAGCCAGCGGCGCATCCTTTACCAACGCTTCCTTTTCCCGTGCAGTGGGAAGCCACTCGAGTAGCTCTGCACCAGAAAATCCAGAACAGTACCATCTGTGACTATCTCAATGGCTTCTGTGATGATCTCTTCAATGCAGAAGAATATAATGACGTGTGGAAAATTTTGACTCGGTTTCCAGACACCGCGAAGCTTCTGGAAAGGACCAGTGAAGCTATTTGGATGAGTTTAAAGCACAAATCCGGATGGCTCGACAGTACTTACCTCACGGGGTCGGTCCACCTTGACACCGTAAATATGGGTTCAGAATCTAAGATCCCTTTACGTATCACACTCAATCCACTACTAAGAGTCCGTGGAAATCGATTCTTCAATCGATTTGGGTCTGATAGATTTCTACATCTTCGGCTTCCATCTTTTCAAAAGCTCTCTGATGAGTCTGAAAAAGCGCGTGCCCGGATCATCGATTGGTTGGTGGAAGAAGAGTTAGAACTCCTGAATAGAAGATGGAAGTGTTTTTACATCAAGCATCCCCAGGACAGTACGAAAAACTCCAGTGCGAAATATTTTAATCAAGCGGTATTTTTCGCTATAGAGGGTGTTGGGATTGGAGAAAACATCGATGAGCAGGAACTAGAGGCATTAGGGTTTATAAACGACCATAGGAAATTGAGGCACAAAATGAGCGCTCGTGATTTACTGGAGTGGCATATTCCCCTCCAAGGAAAAAACTTGAAAGACACGGTCTCAAAGTTTTGGTCACGAATAAGTTTAGGTTGGTACTCTTGCATATACCCATGGATATTGTGCTGAAACTCCTAAGGATTCTCCGGTGGAACCCCTACCGTTACCGTCAACCCCTCAATGATTGAATTTGTCAACGGTTTTCGATCTCCTATCGGTGAGGTGATGGATGACGGCTGCTCTATCATCTCTCCGGCGCTGATGAAAATGGTCCGTCGAGAGCTTGATTCTGAGTCAACCCCAACAGCTGTTCAAGCGCGCATAGGCGGTGCTAAAGGTGTCTGGATGGTGGATCCTGACGGCGACTGGAACTCAGAAGAGCTCTATATAAACGTCAAAACTGACTCACAACTGAAATACGAGGGTCATGAGAATGATAATGACTGGGCAAGGTTAACGTTGGACGTTCTCGCTTCATCGCACGACCCGAAACCAGCAAATATCAATGTCCAGTTGATTCCAATCCTTGCTGATCGTGGTGTGCCTTTCTCCGTAATGAAAGAGCTTCTGGAAGAACATCTGGAAGGGCACCTTAATGAGCTCTTCCAGACAATCGATGAACCCGTCCAGTTACGAAAGTGGCTATACGACCATGGAGGCTTGGCAAGGGAACGAATTAGTTCAAAAACTACATGTATGCCAACTTGTGGCGCCCTGCCAAATAATACACACGAGATTGCCATACTACTACTTGAAGTAAGATGGTGCCCTCCCTCACGTAATAACATGTGAGATTAATAGAGCTTATAGAGCGGGTTTTCGGTGCGCGAGTGCCAATACCTGTACACGCAGGTCTCGTCATATATCGATCAGCACTGTACAAATCTGAAAAAAAGGCTGCACATAAGAATTCCCCATTCAACACGTCTCCTTTGTGTGGCGGATCCAACATGTACATTGAAGGAGGGCGAGGTATCCCTAAGGTTCTCCAATGGGATTCTAGACCCAAAAACAATGAGGCGGACGACTGTCATACTTGGCGATATACTTGTAGCGCGAGAGCCGGCCCAGTTACCTTCAGACATACAAAAAGTGGGCATTCTGGTCCCTGCATAAAACTTGACGAGTCTAATCGAGAAATCTTAGGTTAAAGCAGTTGATATTCAGGACTACCACTCCCCAAAGTTGAGAGAGTTACAAGATGTTATCGTATTCTCTGTTAAAGGTAACAGAAGTCTTGCATCTTTATTGTCAGGAGGAGACTTTGACGGCGACAAGGTGAGAATTTTTGTTGAATTGGTTATGGGAGTCGATTACTTCTCTATCATTGCCTGGCTAACTTCTGCTTGGTGACGGTAACCAGCCCTGGGTTTGCTGGGATGAACGTGTAGTCGCATCCTTCCAAAACAGTGTCAGTACATTTGACGAATACCGTGAACTGGTTGAAGCAGAATTTGAGAGGTCGGAAGAACGGATGGAAGATCTAGAGCCACACGAGCCAGATTTTTACAATCGCTTTTTGAGAATCGGAATAGCGAACTCCCTCCGGGAAGACTTCTTGGGGCGTTTTACTGCTGCATGGGAAAGAGTTTGTTACCACAAGGGGATTTCAGACCCAGAAACCATCAAAATAGCGATAATGTGTTCTTTCCTTGTCGATGCTCCAAAACAGGGGCTATCGGTCCGCCCTTCGACAAGAGAACATGTACAAAAGCGTTCGAGGTTTCCGCCGCCTGCGTACAAAAACCCCGACGCCAAGGGAGACGTTTTGAGAAATAGCACTAATGTGATTGATCGGTTGCGCTTTGTCACTGAGCAGAAAGTGGAGGAAATGAAGATCGCGTTCAACAAAGGTTTTGGAGGGACCTGGAAGTTTGACCCGATGTTGTCGGAACTTTATAATAACGAGTCTAAATTGGCAAAAGGAGAGATGGGAGAGCCATTGCGCAAAACATTATCCCATCTGAGAGACGAATTTCGCACTTTGTATAACTCATGGAGGGTGGCAGCGAACTCCAAGTGTGGGTATAAAAGCAATGTTTCAAGTCATTATAGTCAGTTCAAGGAGATAATGCCCCCGAAGGACTTGCTCAAGGACCCAGTCATCAGTCGTTTGGTCCTGAACGCAGATTCCAACCTTTCGTACTGGAGTCTCCTCAGAGCCTCCGCAGCACATTATATGTGGCATGCAGAACGCACCCAGGCATTTATGTGGCTCATGGCTGGTCGCGAACTTTGTTTTATTAAGTCTCAAGCAATGGGGAGAAAGTCTGAGTTTGGGCCACGGACAATGATAGAGGAGATGTATGTCCCCTTGAAAACTAGTGGGAGATATCAGGAAATCAGGAAGACGGACCAGGATGATGGCCAGGAGGAGAAGGAAGAAGAGGACTCATGATGATTGACCTCAAATACCATCGTAAGCTTTTCTCTGGAATGCTCCTTTGAATACAAATCAATTGACCCAAGATACAGTCAGAATTCCATAAATAATACCCATTGATTGACCCTTCGATATAAAAGAAAACGGACTGTAGTCTCACAGTCCCAAAACCTTCCTAGCGCATTGTCTAACTCTCCTCGAGTATTCCTCTTTGTTATCCCTCCAAACCTTTGAGGCATCGATATTCGCTCCACTCTCGTCGTTTGGCTCGGCAAGCATGCTCATCACACTAATGAGGATTTTCTCGACACTTTGGATGGGCGACCAACGTTCACTGGCATCCTCATATTGGTTTGGGTCGTCACCGGGGGAATGCAGGATTGAGATGCATACGGTGCCGTCCTTGTAAACGTTAGGGTGAAACATTTCGCAAGTAAATTTCATTTTTGGAGGATTTAGCGGATAATCCTGATATTATGTATAATAGTTTTATTAGCGCTTGAAATCCACATTTTTACATATTACCGGACCCTTCTGAGGCTGAGAGTGAACATACTTTTGGGAAGCTTAGTGTCGCTGGGAAAACACCACCCTCGAAAGGGGTTTCGTCAGGGCCTTGTATCAAGCACTCCCATTCAAAAAGATTTGATTCGTCAACTGGACCGGCGACAATGCCCTCCGGCGACTCTCTAAGCAAGGCCTTGTATTCTTTGAGTAGACGTTTGTTGGCTGCGGCAAACGACATTTTGATGATGGGTGGTGGTGAGGTGATGAAGCTTGCCGCGTAAAGTACGGTAGGTACCTACATGTATCACGTGTCGATTATCAGGTGTAAGACGATCTACTCTAGCTAATCTAATCAGATCAGAGCTGCTAACACAGACTTAGGGTTAGCCTCTTCTAGACCACATGCCAGTGTAGTTGGATTATGGTTTTTTCAAACGTTTGGGCATATGATTGGTCGAGAGCGAGGAACCCTAATCCTGCATAGCAACCAGCCCACAACAAAAATTGGGAGCGGGCTGCAAACATGACACTGCTGGTATGAGAGCATCAATTATACTACGTGGGGTGGAGCTGGAAATTGGGAGGGAGAAAGTAATATAGGTGGAAAGTAGAATATAATGGATTGAATTGTTGACGGAGAGCATCAATCACTACCATTAGCTGGAGCTGTAATAGAAACTTTAGGCCAGCTATCGGTTTTGGTCAAAATTGATGGTTGCAGGGATCACTTTGCTGGGTGGCGAATAGCATTTTTCAAAATTGATTGTTGGCCTAAAGTTTCTATGTACCGCCAAAACTGGCTATCTCCGTCCAGGGATTACCACTTGAGTGATTGGTTGAATGGCATCGATCTGCTTTAAAAATTTCCCATACAAGAAATTTTGATCTAGCCAACTTTTCGAGTTATGCGGTATTGCTATTAACTACTAGCGATGCCGACAATCCTATGGGTCACGTGCTCCCTTCTTTGCGTGGAGCCTTCAGTACTAGTATTTGGTGCGTAGACCTCAGAATAATAAGTCACATGACCCATGGGGAAACTACACGAGGTGGGCCACTACTAGTACTATACAGTATACTAGCTAGTAGTGGCCCCGGGCCCATCTACCTCGCGACCGTAAGTTGAACATGTGGGGAGCTCACATGGAGCATTCGCCCCCATCGACCTCCATCCACCTCTAAACCTTTGGGCCCCTCTACTTTATACTAATACCTCTTCAATGTTGGTTGCCATGTGGGTCAGGGTTCATTGCCCTCGACCAATCAGGCCCCGAGCTCGCGCGCGCAAATAGAGCTTTTACTATGTACATATTAGATAGACTTACAGACCCATCATGGCTTCGGTTGGATGATGGTGATCAGGGATTGGCCGATTTCGACAGCGGGGGGTTTTTTTTTATTTTTTATATTTATTTTTACACGTCGTGTTTGAGCTCATGGGTTGGAAGGGTTGCGGGAACGGATTGCTTGCATACATGTAGAGTACATAAGGTACTCTACGGTATAGTAGTTAGGATTCTATTTTAACTCGATAAGTGCCATATAATGAAAGGCTTAGTACTTACAACAATATCAGGTTAGGCTAGGTGCAAATACTACATGTAGGTATATGTAGGTACTCTGGAGTCTACTCTACTCTAGCAATACCAGTAACAGTACTGTATTTTGCTAGATATGATACTGGATCCACTACTTTTTGGTACTGTAGCTTATTATTGTGGCTGTATGTACTTGTATATATAGAGTACTGTATATGAACATTGGCGGTTTGGGGGGGGGGGGGGGGCGGTGGGAGGTGAGGAATGGAAACGTGTAGATTATATCTGATACGTGCTGCACCATATACTCTACGAATTTACATGTATGTGTGTTTTTCCGCGAGAGTGTAAGTATGCGTGTATCTCAAGAGGATATATATAGTATTATGTAGAACAATAAATTGGTATGTGTAAACCACTTCTGGAAACTAATAAATTAGTGCTGTACTGAAGAAGTGTTCAAACGTATTGATCTACTCTGCCTGAATGCATATGTGTATAACGTGATGATCTATTGCGCTTCTCTACTGTCCTCTACTCTAGAGTAAAGTCACAGGTATTGGGATTTACTACACATATGAGTTAAGTTACGTCCAAACAAAATTGTTATGATACTTGTTCATGAGCTGGCGGTTGCCTCGGTGCTATTACCTATTGAAGGTTGAGCGCAAGGGCCTCTTTTCTGGTAGTGGCACTAATCTTCTCGTTTAGGTCGTTAGTTACATGTAAACCCTGGATTGGAAGGCGTTCTACATGTATTTTGCCGGCGTAAGGATAGACTCCGAGTACTCGGGGAAGGCAAAAAGTACCGGACAATGCAAGTTTTGTCTCTGGGCTTTTTTTGCAGTAGTTCACGCCTAGCACGCGCGCCCATTGGTGAACCAAAAACCTGCATAGTCCGGTACTTTTTACCTGCCCCGAGTACCTACTTGTATGTACATATGTAGACCCGCGGCCGTAGGGTAGACTCTGCTGGACATGTAGAGTAGAGTAGGATTAGAAATGGGGTAAAACTGATACGGCATTGTGAGAACGTGCCGCTTTATCTCCGTATTTTAAAGTGTGGCAGTGTTACTGTGATGGTGCAGCATTGCCAAAGATTGCAGTAGTAATTGTATAATTATATATCACAAATACATAAAGTTCTAGTGTATTGACAACTGTCCTTCACTGGAACTTGGCGAGTGACACCGGACCGTGTTAACGAACAAAACCAAAAGGAGATATCCGTCAACAACCCGCGGCCATGATTCACGACTGTACCTACATTCTTACAAGATTCACAATCCCTGTCGTAAATCGACTGAACGAGCAAGGTTTATTTCTCGTTTATTATACTGTAAGAAAACTCAATAAAGTACAGACCTACAGCTGTACTTTGCGTGATGTTTACTTGTATCGTTGATTTTTTTTTAAAAGGATTAGGAGAAGTTTGGGGAGGAATATCGGACTGTATTCAGATCTAGATACCAAATTGCAAAGCGTTGCCGATGATGTATAGAGTGCATACTGTATATATAAACACATCAAATTTATAAATTCCAGACATATGACTTTTGTACATATGCAGGTACATACAATGTAGTACTAGCGATGCCGACTGGAATTTCGGTCATGTGGGGACATCTAGAAAGTGACAAAAGGCATACTAGTTTCTACTCTCACCTACGCATTATTTAACGTACACGTAACCGAAATTCTAGTCCACATCGCTAGGTACTTAGAGTAAATACATGTGCCTACATGTACTCTATTTGGTGTAGAGTAGAGTATAAATACTCTAATAGTGGAGTTGGCAATGCCGCTATAGTACAGAGAGGTGCAAGCTGCATCGTTGCACTGGCATGGAGTTAAATGAGTGGTCAGGAGAAGGTCTAAACGATCAAGCCTAGTCCTACTTAGTCGTGGGCTAGGGATAAAAGTAGTAAGTGGCTACCCGCCAAACAACCTCCTGGGTTCTAAGTTCTTGGTTAAACAACTGCTCGTGCTCTGGCCTCTCTGTCTCGGTCTGCAGGCGCGTCTATTTCGGCAATTCATCGATACAAACCTGTATGTATGCACTCTAACTATGCACTCTAGTTTCCCAAGATTCGAAATGCCTAGATGAAATGTGGCAGCTGGCGTCGTTCTTCGGCGCGATGCAGCAACCGGATTAGCAGTGTACATCAATCAGCGCCTATGGCCGCTACAATGCTCTTTTGACAAAGAACCTCCAACAAAAATTTGCTTGTTCTACTGCTCTGATTACAGTGGTGTGTAACTTCGACTCTAAGTATTTCTATTTTCTAGGTTGGATATATCTGCCTTAATATCAGGTATTACTGTTGAGCAGATTGATGAACCTATTCTGCACTCTGCCGGGGAGATCCTCTCCTGCTTGCTGCTGGGAACCCCGCGCATCTGCTTGATTCACAGCCGCATCTCTTAGGCCTGCTGCCGCTGCTTCCCTTCTGGTCGTTGTTCTCCCTTTCTGGACCCTCTCCCACTTCTCCTCCTCTCCTCCTCTCCTCCTTTCCGTTCCCTCATAACCTTTCCTTTGCTGCTGCTGCCTCTACCACAAGTGATATCACAGCTTCCACTACGTGACTTCTCCTACTTTCCCCCTGCACTCAACGCGGCCACCAGAAATATAGATAATTACTATTGAGTCCTATCTTCTTACTTTTCTCTCCCGCCCCCCCCTTTCTCTGGGACACCATCACCGAAAAACGAAACAAACAAAACAAGAAAATAAAGGCAAGTGGTGATGGGTCTCTTCTCCAAGAAGAACGGATCTAGGGCGAATTCCGTCACATCGGATAGCACTGGAAGTAAACCCGGCAGGAAAGGTTCTCAAACTTCCCTGGCAAGTACTATCAGGTCCCCCACGACAGGTCAACCAGGGAGATCTTCGTCGTCTGGAAATGCCTCCCCTCCATTGCCAGCAATCCCTTCGATAGAATTACCTCCTGCGCCTGATCCAGGTATGGACCCTTCGGGCTATCTAAGGAGTATTTATGCTGTCAGAGAACGATCGAAATTCGTAATTGAGGCTGCTCTTAAAAACCAGTTGACCAATTTTACTGTGGATATGGAAAAGTTTAAGGACGTTGCGGAATACGTGGTTTCAATTATAAAGGTACCATTTCTTCACTCTGGCATTTTTTTTACGTTTTGTCTGAGTATATAACTGATTTTGCTTGTGCTGGACCGGGAAATATAGAGAGATTACGCACCTGACTACCACACAATTCCTCCCCATGGTCGCTGGCAGCACTTTGAGGTCGGCGGACGGCCTCGAATCGACCAATTGATAAAATCATGGCCATCGAGTGTGGATACAGCAGAGCAAACAAGAAGATTGATTGATCTCTTTCTAGTTTCTGTGTTGCTTGATGCTGGCGCTGGCACTAAGTGGCAGTACAAGTCTCAGGACAATGGCAAAATATATCGCAGAAGTGAAGGATTAGCTGTAGCAAGTTTAGACATGTTCAAAGAGGGTCTTTTTAGTAGCAATCCTGAGCAAAAAGAGCAGGTTGATGGTGGGTTTTTCTAGCTATTCCATAAATCTCAAGCTGTCTGGAGCTTCGTTCATGAGCTCGATTATCGGAATCAACATTGACTGACCTTGAATAATTCTCTGTAGGGATGGCGTTGAAGGGATTGACCGTTGAGATTCTTGCAAGAGGCCTGCAGATTTCAGATAGTAATCCCATGGATGGCCTCGAGGGTCGATCATCGCTTTTGATAAAGCTGGGAGAAGCTTTAGACAATCAGGATTTTTTCGGGGTAGACTCGCGCCCTGGAAATATGCTTGGTACGTCTCAAAATATGATGACTATTTGACATGCCAGCCTAACCAGCATTTCTAGACTACCTTTTACAACATTCCACAACACAAAAATTCGGTGTAACACCGGTAATCCCAATTCCTACATTATGGAACGTTTTGATGGAGGGACTTGCACCGATTTGGCCTCAATCACGTACTCAGTTTGATGGCGTTTCTTTGGGCGATGCATGGCCCTGTTCTTCAATGCCCCCTGCACCGGGTTGGGAACGCATTGTTCCCTTTCACAAACTCACTCAATGGCTTACCTATTCTCTTATGGTTCCGATGTCAAAACTGATGGGGGTGATGTGGGCAGGCGAGCATCTTCTCACTGGTCTTCCGGAGTATCGTAACGGCGGCCTTCTAATAGACACTGGACTTTTGACCTTGAAGCAACCACAGATGGAAAGGGGCATCCAGGCATACCATGCAAACGCAAAAAAAGCGGGCCAACCCAATGTTGAGGTCGTGCCTTTGTTCGGGCCCGAAGATGACGTAATTATCGAATGGAGAGCTTGCACATTGGGGTTTTTGGATATGCTATTGGGTGAAGTTAATAACTTGCTGGATTTGAGGAATGGCGATCAATTGACTTTAGCGCAAATGTTAGAGGCGGGTACTTGGAAGGTAAGTCGATATTTCCGAAATAATAATAAGCTAGTCTCTAAATCAATCCTTTAGGGTGGAAGGGAGCTTGCAGAGGTCTCTAGACCAAACACTAAGGAGCCTCCGATTATGATATTGTCAGATGGAACGGTATTTTAAATATCCCATCAATTCAAAGATAGTCCCGGTGATGCGTTGGACATGCCATATTTTCTTACCCCTTTAAGTTTTGCTTTTATTACTACATAAGGGGAGCTTGAACTGTGCAGTATTTTCCTCCGTGTCTACCCTAGGGATCCCGTTTTCCATTTTATTGCTCCACATTTCTGGATGACTTTGACGGCCCATATATCATTTGCCCTATTTGTTCCGGATATTTTCTTTGATCTAGCTGCTGGCCTGTTATGTTCTATTGCTTTTCTTAAACTTGATTCCACCTATTTGTATTTTTTTCTTCTCGAGGACTTGAGACTTATGTTAATGTTGATTTTTCTGTACTCGGATATTTACTCGTAGTAAAGTTTCATGTGGTTGATAAGCGCGGTTCAAAGTGATGACTGGTGGATAACCTACTGTGCTACCAAGCTGTAATTACGGAGCTAACAAATAAATACAGTAGCAAAAAATGGGGTGGGATTCGTGCCATAGGAATACCGCAGAAATGCTGGGTCTATGCGCATTTTGCCAAGCAATGCCGATTTTCGAGAAATACCGACTTAAAGCTGCATTTTTGATAGTCAATAATTTTTAATAGTACTGTAGAAATACCGCATCACTGTCTCTAGGTCCCCTCTGTCACACCCAGACGTGACAGCAACACTTCATGACAGGGGGAATAAGATTATCAACACAAACTCATTGTCGTGATCACCATCAATCAATCAAAATTATAAGTATCATCCTGAGCCAATAGGAGAGTAACTGTTTCATTATATAGTGAATACCGAATGGACAAAAATTATTTTTTAAATGTATTCCCTAACTCACTTTAGCCCTTTGATGGGGGATCAAAGATGACCGAGATATTGATGAATTAATTGGTTGTTTTGATAAGTGTAATGCCTCATGAGAAGAAAATATTGCATGTAATCAGCAAACTATTTCATACAAAATAGTACATGTACGTTTTTTTGGCAGGGTACGGCCCGGAAAAGGCCCGGAAATCCCGGAAAAGCATAGCATTGAGTGCATAAATGCGGCAGTCAATACCATAGTATCTAGAATACCGCATAACTCTTTTTCTGCGGCACGAATCCCACCCCATTTTTTGCTACTGTACTCAGATCCGTAGAATTTATCGCAGATATCATACCACAAGCCTTTGCGTGTATTTCGAATCGTTCCTGTAGGCTGATACCACATATCAAATAAGTTAGAGTATTGTGAATCACGTGATAGTCGAATTTCTTTTTAGAATAGAGCCCAAGCAAGAGATGTAGGTACCAAAGTACTGCTTGCTGATTGGCTTAAGTCACGGGAATATGCATACACCACCAGTTTTCCTCCCACCACTTTGCTTTAAGCCCATGGGCGGTACTCTACTCGCGACCAGCAACAAGAACCCGAAAATGCACGTCCTAATCTGCAATTTCCATTGGAGTAGAAGTCAAAAATACACCAAAGAATTGCAGCTGCATATTCGGGTTCTTGTTGCTGGTCGCGAGTACATACTATTTCTCTGACGTTTTTGAACTGGGCCATTATTGCATACACCCAAAATCATGAGCTTGGCGTATTTTTGTATGGCATGCAATATCAGTCGCGTCCACAAACGTCAGAGAAATACGAGTAGAGTAGGTACATATGCAGGGTATTTGTACCATAGAGTATTGTAGTTCCTGACACCTGTGCCATTGCACACCTTGATATTATGCAATAGACGTTCAGTTTACAAACGTCAGGAGAGTAGGAACATGTATGGAGGCACTGCCGGGTTCGTGCATGTAGAGCACTCAAAATAGAGTAGGCCGACTTGACAGTGTTCTGGATTTGGGTGCACTAAGATATTTTTTCATGTCGCTCAAAGTAGAAATTTCTAGCTGCTTCTATGGGGATAAGCTTATGTTGCAGTTGATATTTAGATGCATGTAGCCCTACAACACCATTATTTTAGTTCAAATTAGTTCCCCGCACCCATAACTTATTCATCGATCCATCCACCTATCTATCTACACGCCTACAGATCTATAAATACCAGGCCATTACCACCTACCTCACAATCAGTAGTGATGCCTTCTCCAGCAACTCTCTCTGATCAAGGCTCCAAAGCGCTCAACTCCCAAAACTATGCTCAAGCGATTGATTTGTACACCCAAGCTCTGAGACAAACCCCCGAGTCTCCAGATTATTACTTGAAGCGTTCCACTGCTTATCAACGTTCATCAAATTATGCTTCCGCACTACGTGATGCCGAGTTAGCTGTTGTCCTTGCCAACAAGCGAGGAAAACGAGAACTCATTGGTGCCGCCCAGCTCCGCCGAGGGATATCCTTGCTTATGGAAGGAAAGCTAGGGGACGCCGGTTTCTGCTTCAGTGAAGCAGAGAAAAAGGCCAGTAACGACAAAGACAAGAACCTCATTGGCATCTGGAAAGGCAAGCTTGAGATGCAACTTGCCAAAGTAGATGAGGACGATATTACTAGAGAAGTTACCGTGAAGGAGATCCCCGATGTGGAAATTCCCAAAGTGACCGGCGAGAAAAAGGATGGCCAAACTGGCCTATCGGAGAAAACAGTTGCCCAGGCTGTAACCCCGCCGATTTCTCGTCCCAAAGGTGTAGTAACTCCGCCCAGCAAGATTCGACACGAATGGTATCAAACCTCTACCCATATCGTCATTACAATCTATGTCAAAGGTGTACCAAAGGACGAAGCTACGGTAGAGATACAAAACACATCGGTATACCCCTCTTTTCTCCGTAAAATGGAGTATTACACCGGTCTTGTCCTAATCGATTTATCCAAACAATAGCTCTCAATCGCCTTCCCACTAGCGTCCGGGCCCGAGTTCACCTTCGACCTCGATCCTCTCTTGTACCCTGTTAAGGCCGACAAGTCATCGTATGCAATCTTACCAACGAAAATTGAGATTAAGCTTGAGAAACAAATTCCGGGACAGAAATGGGGGGATCTCGAAGCATCTGAGGCAACCCAATTAATCGGAACAATTCCACTCCCCACAACGTCTGCAACTCCTACCTCAATGGCTAAAGTAGATCTACCGCTTTATCCCACGTCCTCAAAGTCAGGCCCTAAGGATTGGGATAAGGTTGCAAAAGATCTCACACGCTCTAAAAAGAATAAGGACATTATAGAAGGTGGAGCTATCGATACAGACGAGGGTACAGAATACGATAGCGAAGCCGAGAGTGGAGATCCAGTAAACCATTTTTTCAAAAAGCTATATAAAGATGCAGATGAAGACACTAGGAGGGCCATGATGAAGAGCTACGTCGAGAGCAATGGAACCGCTCTTAGTACGAACTGGAAAGAAGTTGGAAAAGCTCCCGTTGAAACAAGTCCACCAGGTAGGATCATAAACTCATGTATTCCAAACTCACTCTACTGACATTGCATTAGAGGGTATGGTAGCACATAAGTGGAACAGTTAAAGGGTGGTCGCCTGTTGGTGAGATTGTCAGTAGTCGTAAAGGTTTGCTAACTAATGATAATTAAATATTAACCTTGCAATACTCGAAGTGCGGAAATATGGAAATCCGTAACCTAGAATGAAAAGTGGGAGGTGGGCTTGACCAATCAGACCGGATAAGTGTTTTTATTATCTTGGTAAGGTAGGGTAGGGTTCGCGGAGATCAAAAACGGTTTTTTTTCTGTCACAAAAGCAATTGATAATACTGATTAATTCTTTTGATCATTGTGAAGTGTTCAAAGCCCAACTTTTATGATGATGTACAGCACCGTAGTGGACTCAAGTAGCAATCATACTAGCGATACCAACTGGAATTCCAGTGACATGTAGAAAGGGGTGCAGAGACTCGAACTCACGTGACCCGAGGTAATTGGGTACGGGTGTTCGTGTTCTTCGTAGGTTGTTCTTCGTAGGGTGTTCTTCGTAGGGTGTGCTTCGTAGGGTGTTCGAGGTTGATCTTGCGGGTCACGAAGAATATCCTCGGAGACTCCACGAACTCAATGAAATAGATTGTAAAGTGTAACAGAGCCTATCAGACTGTCTAGTGTATGAAGATGCACAGGGTATCGTTACATGCTGAGAAGTATCATCGAAAACCAATAGCTCCGGGAATTCTAGTACCGGCAGTAGTAGTTCCCTACAAACTGCAAGACAATTACATTCTTAGACAAGTGATCGCCGGCCTTCGGCCGGGTGTAATCAGTTTCATACATTTGTAATAATAAATTTTAACTGAGTCGTAAATAATAATATATATTATTTGCAATGTATGTTTCAAAGATAAAGTTTTTATATTCACTTGTTTCTATAAGTATTAAGTAATAATGGGTGGTGCAATATATATTAATAGGAATCACATTGCTCTGTGGGCTCCATAGAGGTGATGGACAAATTACAAAGAAAATTTTACCTCGATGTGGCAATACTATTTGTTTCTCCTCTACGAGCCAGACAGGTAGCTTGCTCTTCTGCTCAAGTTAAATCAAGTAACAACTTCTAACCTGACGTCAGTAAACAAACCTCAGTTCATAGGTTATGATTCGTCGTCTATTCGAGTTACTCTATCTACTAGTATTTGCCATGACAGATATAGATAATGCTACTATCTCTGACTTCCGGGTCTGCTGTCACGGTTTTCCCAACTTTCAACTTGATACTTACTATAACTGAGTGGGTACGTTTAACTTGAACGGGGACAGTCTTTTCACGTATCTCTGGAATCCGATAGAAAGATGTGGCCGTGCAATATAGAAATCAGGTTTAGATTATTCAAAGATGCTTCGCTTAAATCTCAATAATCTTTAAGGGCTCTGCTACCAAGTGGATCTCAAGGGGCGATGATAGCACGTATTCCGCAGGGTATGATATGCGACAGTAGAAGCTGTCGAGTTAGTCAAGCGAGGTCAAGCGAGGCACGAAGGTCTTCGTGGAAAGGAGAAGTAATAGCGTATATATTGAGAACCAGCGTAGATATAAAAGTGGTCCTGCCTGATATGATATGCCAGGTACGGACAGTGGTTACGGTAGGGAAATACAGAAGACGTTGAGTAAGAAAAAGAAGAAGAGAAAGGAAAACAGGAACGAAGCGAGGGAGAGCCCCCTTATTATACCCAAGAAAATCCTGCGATGACTAATCCCAATGACTCACGCCGCGCAACCGAACAGAAACCCAAAGAACACGATAGAACTCTCCTGACTAATCCAACTCCGCGTAACCCAACGACTCCACCAATCGATCCGTGAAAGTAGCCCCCCCCTTCAAGCGCGAGCTCCTGCGAGCCTGGGTTTTAACCTTCGCCTTGAGTGGTCCCGGTTTCCCAGGGTATTGTGCATGGAAGACATCGACTGCGGCGGTGTCGTTATGGTAGGCGGCGGGTTCCCAGGTGGGGTCGGCGTATCCTGTCCATTTAACAAAGTATTGCAGGCCGTTTGTAACGGTGGTCTATGGACGTAGGGACTATGGTGCCAAGGAATACAACCGAGGCGAGGACGTGGCAATAGGTATTCAGGACTATGGGCTATGGAGTGGTTCTATCTAGTATGACAACTAGTTGAACCCTATAACGAGGCGTAGAACAAAAGTAGTATTCGTTGGGGTAAATACAGGAGGTTCCGTGAAGAGAAGAGGAAAGGAAGGAAAACATGAAAAGTCACGAGACAACACCCCCTCATATATCCAACTCCTAGTCCGTTGATGACTAATATCGTGCGTAACGGAAACCGAAAGAACATAACAGAAAACCCATTACAAATCATAGTCCAACTGCGCGATTCCTTCTCTTCACAACCCAATCTATCACCGTAACCGAAATATAATATTGCCGTTACAGACTACGCCCCCCTCTAAGGCCTACCTCCTGGTAGGCTTAGGTTTCTGTGGATAGCGTTCATGGAACCGTCGAACAATATCAGGTGAATGCTCAAGGTTCGATAGCGGTTGCCAAGAGGCATCATCGTATCCAGTGTATCGTACCAGGTACTCAAAGCCACCCCTTCGTTTCCTAGAGTCCACAATATCCTCGACTTCCCATTCTTCCTCCCCTTCGATCTCGACTGGAGGTGGTGGTGACTGTTGTTGTCCAGGTAATGGGTTACCCGCTTCAGGTGATAACAATGAAACGTGGAATACTGGATGGATCTTCATGGAGCGGGGAAGTTCTAGCTCATAAGCATAGGGGTTGACGATTCGTTTGATGCTGTAAGGACCAATCCGTTTCCAATCAAACTTCTTGGAGGGTCGCTTTGTTAGAATATGGCGGGTCGACAAGAAAACTTTATCTCCTATATGATAACGAGGGGCAGGAGAACGATTTAGGTTAGCCGACTCCTCTTGTATCCTTTGCGCCCGAAACATTTCGCTCTTCAGAAACTCCACCATGTCCTTCATCTCCTTTGCAATGCTGTTGGCTTGATCTTCCGCTGTCGTTTTACCGTGTTCCAAGGGACCAAAAGTCATTCTGGGATTTCTTCCCGAGTTGGCATAGAAGGGAGAGACTTTTGTTGTTTCCGAAATATGGTTATTTGTTGCGAACTCAGCCATTGCCAACAGCCGGGCCCAATCATCTTGCTGATAGGAGACATAGCTTCGGAGGTATTGTTCCATTATGGCATTGATTCTTTCAGTTTGTCCATCAGTTTGGGGGTGGAATGCGGTGGAGAAACGTGGAGATATTTCCAGGCGTTTGCAAAGCGACTTCCAAAATTCCGCAACAAATTGCGTTCCTCTATCGGACACCACCATATCAGGTAGTCCATGTAGCTTCCAAACATTATCGAGATATAGCCTTGCTACTTCCTTCGAGTCCACCTCTTTAGTCGTTGGTATTAGATGTCGCATTTTGGTTAATCTATCAACAACAACTAGAATCGCATTGTAACCATCACTCTCTGGAAGGTCGGTAACAAAATCCATCGAGACATCCGTCCATGGTCCATCGGGTATTGGCATGGGACGAAGTACCCCATAAGGCACATTACGTGGTGCCTTGCTACGGACACACATATTGCAATTCCTAACATATCGATCAACATCTTTTCGTATTTGTGGCCAATAATATTCCCGACTTAAGAGTTCCAAGGTCTTTGCTCTACCCGGATGGCCTGCCGATGGTTTGTCATGATGTTCTTTCAGGAGTCTCAGCCGGAGGTCATTATCCTTTGGTACGTAGAGTGCATCTCGATAAAGTAACCGGCCGTTATTGTCTTCAGTACATTCGGCAAGTGAAATTTTATTTGACTGGCGAACGTCGTTCCGGAGCATAGCGAGGATTTCATTTGGAAAACTATCGACTTGGTAAGCTTTTGAAAATAACTCCTCCACAGTAGACATTCCTTCAGCGGATTCATTTGATAAAGAACCCGCGAACAAACTTAGCTTTGTATCCAAATTTTTTCGCTTCAGAACCACTTGGCTCTGGTGCGTCAGCCGTTCATCCCCCTCTTTAGGTAGATCACCTGATCTTCTGATCAATGCATCTGGTTTCGCTCCTTGTTTTCCTGGTCGGAATTGTATAACAAAATCGAAACGCGAAAGGAATTCAGACCAACGAGCTTGTCGGCAGTTTAGCAATTTTGTTGTCATAAAATACTCTAGATTTCGATGGTCGCTGAAAACTTCAATAGGGAATTGTGCTCCTTCCAAATGATGTCGCCACTCCTCAAAACATCGTACGATTGCTAGAAGTTCCTTGTCATAAATTTCATAGTTGCATTCCGCAGGGGAATGTTTCTTTGAAAAGAAAGCGACCGGATGTAAAACTCCTTCATCATCACGTTGCGATAGAATTCCTGCTGAAACATAGTCGGATGCATCGGTTTCTATCACAATCTTCCGATTCGGATCGAAATGAACTAATATGGGCGCTGTTGTAAACATCTTTTTCAATGTTTGAAATGCTTCCTCCCTTTCATCTGTCCATTCGAATTTAACATTTTTCTTTGTTAGAGCTGTAAGCGGGGCGACAATCTTTGAATATCCCAAAATAAACCGTCGATAAAAATTTGCAAATCCCAGAAATACTTGAACATCATGAAGATTTGTAGGTATAGACCATTCTAGAACATCAATAACTTTCTTTGGATCCATTCTGTTGCCATTTGGGGTGAGGATTAGGCCAAGATATTTCGTTTCTTGAACCATAAATTCACATTTTTCGGGTTTGAGATGGACATGATTCTCATCAAGTACCTTTAAAACCTTTTGAATATGGTCCTTGTGCTCTTCAAGGGATTCGGAATAGATGAGAATATCATCTAAATAGGCCGTCACAAATTGATCGAGATAGGGGCGCAGGATGTCATTGATCCAATGTTGAAATGTAGCCGGAGCATTCGCTAATCCAAAAGGCATTACCGTATATTCAAAGTGTCCATATCGAGTCCGGAATGCCGTTTTCCATTCGTCTCCTTCCGCTATCCTGATTTGGTTATATCCCCAGCGCAAATCTAACTTGGTATAATATT